TTTATTTTTTCATTTTATTTATTCTCTTTTTGTCAATAACCGGAAAGATATGTGCGTTATAGAGAGGAGGGTGTGTTAGAGAATGTTAGAGAAAAAGAGATTTTGTTCCGGAATTTTAGGGAGCCTGTTCCGGAAAATGTAAACGGTCAAGTGTTTTCCGGAAAAACATTCAGAATTAAATTTAGAATGTTTTCCGGAAAATGTTTCCGGAAAATATTTATTTTTTTCCGGAAGACAATTATATGTATAATGTTTTCCGGAAAACGGTCATTCAGAATTATAATAGAATATTTTCCGGAAAACGGTTTCCGGAAAATAATTAGGTATGTGTTTTCCGGAAAACTTTTCTTAATTATTAGAGAGCTCTCCGGAAAAACATTAAAAATTTTACTGAAAACAATTTCCGGAAAACAATTATATTTTTTTTGTTTCCGGAAAAACCTCTCAAAGTTTTAAAATTTCCGGAAAGCCTTTCAGAATTAATATGAGAATGTTTTCCGGAAAATGGTTTCCGGAAAATAATCATCTTTTTGCTTCCGGAAAATATTATATATTTTGTTTCCGGAAAGCAATTATATAATGTTTTCCGGAAAACTTTTCAGAATTAATATTAAAATGTTTTCAGGAAAGTTTCCGGAAAATATTATATTTTTTGCTTCCGGAAAATAATTAGGTGTGTTTTCAGGAAAACTTTTTTTAATTATTAAAAAGCTTTCCGGAAAAACATTAAAAATTTTACTGAAAACAATTTCCGGAAAACAATTATATTTTTTTGTTTCCGGAAAAACCTCTCAAAATTTTAAAATTTCCGGAAAACACTTTCCGGAGAACCTTTCAGAATTAATATTAAAATGTTTTCCGGAAAACTTTCTAAATTATTAAAAGCTTTCCGGAAAAACATTAAAAATCTTACTGAAAACATTTTCCGGAAAATAATTATATTTTCTTGTTTCCGGAAAAACCTTTCGGAATTAATATTAAAATTTCCGGAAACCTTTCCGGAAAACCTAGGATTAATATTAAAATGTTTTCCGGAAAATAATTATTTTTCTATTTCCGGAAAAGTTTTCAGAATTATTCCGGAAAACATTTTCCGCAGAACCTTTTAGAATTAATACATATCTAAATGTTTTCCGGAAAACCTTTCAGAATTAATATTTCAATTTTTCCGGAAAATTGTTTCCGGTAAATAAATATTTTTGTTTCCGGAATACAATTATATAATGTTTTCCGGAAAATAATTATATTTTCTTGTTTCTGGAAAAACATTAAAATTTCCGGAAAACCTTCTAGAATTAATATTAAAATGTTTTCCGGAAAACATTCCCTTCAATCCTACCTTACCTTAAAATTCGAAAACACAGAAAAAAAATAAAGAAAAAAATAAAAAGGTCAAAAGACAAAAGTATCTCTCACTTAAATTTCAAACTCATAAATAATTTTTTGATAACACGACTTTTTGGCTGATTATTAGAAGGAAGAGCACTCCACATTCCCCCTCTCTATAATGGGCTGATTTAATAAATTATATAAAACGTTCCACCAAAATTTTTCTTTTTTAATTTTAATTTATTTTTAATTTTTGATATTTTAATTGTGTTATTTTTTTTAATTTTCAATGTCAAAAAAATGTTTTAAAAATAGGCAGAATTACCCTATTTCCTGCCGTTATTCGACTGTAAACTGAGAACCAGCCGACTTTGATCGGCCATAACTTTTCGATACTTGATCCGATACAAATGAATTTTATATCATTCGAAAGCCCTTGATTAGCGCTATCTTTTTTCCAATTGGATGGATCAGGTCTAATCACCCATTAAAAAGTTATACCCCGATGACTGTGAAAAACATCAAATAACTGAATGTATCGGTCTATAACTTTTTAATCAGTGATCGGACCTGATCTATCCTATTGGAAAAAAGATAGAGCTTATCGAGGGCTTTCGAATGATATAAAATCCATCTGTATTGGATCAAGCATTAAAAAGTTATGACCGATCAAAGTCGGCTGGTTCTCAGTTTGTGGGCGTATAACGAAAAATTACCCTATTTCCTAAACTTGTTTTCCGGAAAGCTAATTAGAATTAAATTCCTATAATGTTCACGCATGTTTTCCGGAAAATATTTAAAATTTAATTTTACAATGTTTTTCCGGAAACATTTATTTTCTGTATGTTTTTATAGTTTTAAAACTTGTGTTTTCCGGAAATGTTAAAATTAACGAGTGTTTTTCCGGAATGTTTTTTTCATAATTATTTCCAGCATGTTTTCTTGAAAATGTTTTTGATTTAAATATAAAATGTATTTTCCGGAAAGTTTATTTTTGTGTTTTTCCGTAAAATTATTTAATTCCAGCATGTTTTCCGGATTTTTTAAATCCAGAACTTGTTTTCCGGAAAACATTTAAATTAATTATGGGATGTTTTTCCGGAATGTTTTTCCGGAAAATGTTTTTCCGGAATGTTTTTCCGGAAAATGTTTTTCCGGAATGTTTTTCCGGTTGTGTTTTCATAATTATTTTCAATGTGTTTTCATTGTGTTTTTAGAATTAATTCAAGAAAATACATGTTTTCCGGAAAGACTCAGAGTTACTCTGTATTACCAAAACATTTTTCCGGAAACATTTAAATTAATTATTGAATGTGTTTTCCGGAAAATATACAATATAAACATTTTATGGGTATAGCCCAATTAGGCGCAGGGACATAACGGCGCAAAGCCATAACTTGCTTCAAAATTTACGAATCTTACCAAATTTGGTATCAAACGATTCCTCTCATCGAGCTAAAGAGAATGGTACCAAAATTGATAAGGGCCAGAAATTTTCCAGCAAGTTAAGGCTATGCGCCGTTATTGCCTCGCGCCGGAGTGTCCCATATTTTATTTATTTATTTTTCAGGCATTTTTAGGGCATTTAATTAAAAATAATTTAAAAAAAGCATATGCCTAGACCAATGACTTTACCCAGCATACAAACTTTTCGGGTTAGCAAATTTGATGGGACTTCGGCTACTTTGAGTAGCAATTTGGTAAGGAAAATTTTTTTTAATTTTTCCGGAATTTAATTTTTTCTTCCGGAAAATTTTTTCCGTTTTTCCGGAAAATTTTTTTCCGGAAAATTTTTTCCGGAAAATTTTTTTTTATTTTCCGGAAAAGAATTTTCAAAAAATTTTCAAAAATTTTTTTTCAAAAGGTTGATCAAAAAAATCTCGTTTTCAATGACATTGACGACTTTGTTAATCATTTTTGTGAAGACCCTACAAAAGCTAGAAGCATTAGAAAGGTTTTCTAAAATTTATTTTTTAGATTTAATTAGGGGAGAAATTGATAGGCGTTGTTTCCCTTAATTTTTTGAGTGTTTTCGGAAAGTCCGCAATTTCTGTCCGCAAGTTCTGTCCGCAATTTTTTTCAATTTTTTTCTTCCTAAAACTTCCTCTAGTTAATGTCCATAGGAGAAAACATAGCTTTCTGATTTGTGTTCGTAGAGTTTATTGATGGGACTTTAGACTCCTTTCCCGTTGTTTTCATAAAAGTCCGCAACTTTTGTCCGCAAGTTTTGTCCGCAAATTTTTTCAATTTTTTTCTCCCCAGGATTCCCTTATTAATATCCGTTGAAGACATGGTTTTCTGTAATATTCTTTGGGTTTGTAGGATTATTTTTGGACTCATTCCGGTTATTTACCTAAAAGTCCGCAAGTTTTGTCCGCAAATTTTTTTTTCGTATTTTTTCTCCCCAAAACTCCCCTTATTCGTGTCTGTTAAAGAAAACTTGGTTTTCTGATTTGTTCTATACTATTTTTTGAGGTCGTACTACAGGGCGGATCCAGCCGAGGTTAAAAAGTCAAACCCAGATTTATTCCAAAAAATGCGGACAAAAGTTGCGGACAATTTTTGCGGACAAAAAAAAATTTTTTATTTTTTAGATTTTGGTAGCAACAAATGGTATAGCTGCAGTCAAATGTATTCTTTCTATGAGAAAATTGTTGATGCAACTTTTCCGGAATGACAGAATTATTCGATTTGTTTGTCTAACTACTGAACAGGAAATCCAGTCAAAAGCAGGTTTGTGGAGGGGTTTTGGAGGGGTTTTAAAGGGTTAAGTGATGGAGGTTTTTGAAAAGTTTGTTTCTGTTCTTGGGTTCTTTGGGTTTGATTTAATTGACTTGGGCCGGATCATGTGCCTGTAGTCCAGGAAAAACCTTGGCCCATGAAAAAGTCCGCAACTTTTGTCCGCAAGTTTTTGGAATAAATCTGGTTTTGATTTAATTGGCCGGATGCTGGGTCTGTAGTCCAGTAAATAGATTCTGGGCCCAGGCAACCCCCATAAAGTTCAAAAAATGCCTGGGCCTAGACTCTGGGTAAAGGAAAAACCCGGGCCTTGCTCCAGATCCAGCTTGATCGCTAATAGGTTTTATCTCGGTTGGGTGTAATGCTGTAATACTACCAATCTAACCAATCTAAGGACTACCAATCTAAGGGAATGACGTCATCATTCCATATTAGAGACCGGGGCCGACCATACCGACCGGTTTTCCCGGAGTCCGGGTCCCAAATCCGGGGTTTTTTTCGTAATCTTCGGATTTTTTACCGGACCGGATTAATCCGGAAAAATCCGGCCGTATCCTGTCCGGTTCTAGTTGCAAATCCGGAATCCGGGTCCAGAAAGATAGATTTTTACCGTTTTTTCTGTCCGCAAAAACTATCCGCAAGAATATTTGCGGACAAAAAATTTTTTTCTCCAAATTTTTTCAGAATATCTAAAAATGGCCGATTACCTCGTTTTCTCCCCAGCCGGTGCAAATACAAATAATTATGCAAATGTTGATGAAATTGTTGAGCACGCAACTCGAAACAATGTCGACGCAGTCTGGGCAGGTTGGGGACATGCTAGCGAAAATCCTCGTTTACCCGAAGAATTGAGCAAAAGAAATATTGTCTTTATTGGCCCTCCGAGCAAAGCAATGTTTGCTTTGGGGGATAAAATTGCTAGCACGATTATAGCTCAGGTTTGCTGATTTTTTATTTTTTTGGGGGGAAATGTATTTGCGGACTGTCCGCAAATATTTTGCGGACAAAAAATTTTTTTCTCCAAATTTTTTCAGAATATCTAAAAATGGCCGATTACCTCGTTTTCTCCCCAGCCGGTGCAAATACAAATAATTATGCAAATGTTGATGAAATTGTTGAGCACGCAACTCGAAACAATGTCGACGCAGTCTGGGCAGGTTGGGGACATGCTAGCGAAAATCCTCGTTTACCCGAAGAATTGAGCAAAAGAAATATTGTCTTTATTGGCCCTCCGAGCAAAGCAATGTTTGCTTTGGGGGATAAAATTGCTAGCACGATTATAGCTCAGGTTTGCTGATTTTTTATTTTTTTGGGGGGAAATGTATTTGCGGACTGTCCGCAAATATTTTGCGGACAAAAAATTTTTTTGCGGACTGTCCGCAAATATTTTGCGGATAAAAAATTTTTTTGCGGATTTTTTCGAGTAAACTGCAGTTTATGAGTCCATTCGCACTCTACGAGTCTATTAAAAAGTTTATGAGTCCAATCAGATTTTTGTGCGTTATGGGGTAGTAGGCGATAAATGAAGTAAGTCTGAGGGGATAGAAAAAGGCTCAAAATGGTCAACGTGAACCTATTGGGCTTATAAAATTTTCATTGGACTCGTACAGTGCAAATGGACTCATAAACTGCAGTAAGCCAAATATATTTGCGGACAAAATTTTTTCCCGGATTTATTCTTACAACCAATTTTTTGCGGATTTTCTTTTGTGGGTGTTTTTGTGGACAAATAGGTATTTTTTGAAAAATATTTGCGGACAGCTTTTGCGGACTTCCTTCTAAAGAACTAGGTTGTCTACAAGTTTATGGATAGGAATGATTTAATGTGTATTTTTAAAAGTCCGCAAAAATTCAACCTTAGCGTTTTGAAAAAAAAAATGTCCGCAAAGAAATGTCTGCGAAAATTTTTTCAATCCGCAAAACTTGTCCGCAAATTTTTTTGTCCGCAAAAAATGTCCGCAAAATTTTTTAAGTCCGCAAAACTTGTCCGAAAAAAATCTAGGAATCCGCATGTAAGAAAACATCCGCAAAAATTGTCCGCAAATTGAATGAGACTTCAAAAAAAAATATTTTCAAATTTAGACGGTAAAAATCCCAACAATAGAATGGTCAGGAAGTGGATTAGTAGTTGAATCAACAGGAGAAGAAGAAGAAGGCGGAAAAGAAGGAGGAGGGGGAGGGGGAAGAGGAAGCGAATTAGAAATTTCCAAAGAATTGTATTTAAAAGCCTGTGTCTCCACAGTTGAAGAAGGCTTGGCATCTATGAAAGAAAAAAATATTTGTTACCCAGTAATGATAAAAGCATCTGAGGGAGGTGGTGGAAAAGGAATTAGAAAGTGTATTAGTGATGAAGAATTTCGTTTAAATTTTAGAAGAGTTCAAGCTGAAGTGCCGGGAAGTCCTATTTTTTTGATGAAGTGAGTTTTTGTTTTTTGAACTATACAAGGGAGGTGGGTCGGAATTCCGGTTTCCGACGGTTTTTTCCCTTCCAATTTCCGAAAAAAATTTTTGAGTTCCAAGTTCCGAAAAAAATTTTTTGATTTCCAAGTTCCAAGTTCCGAAAAAAAAATTTTAATTTCCGAGTTCCGACTTTTGAGCCAGTTCCGATTTCCAGCTCTTCCGATTTCCGACACCTTTGTCTGTTCCGACCCGGGTTGGGGTCGTTTTGGCGCCGGGCAGTTTTGGCGCGAGAACCAAAATTGGCATTTAGGCGAAACCTAAATTTATGAAAATTTTTTCAAATTTCTTTAACATCATTGACTACCTCCTCCATAAATTTCAGAATTTTTCATCAAATATTCCTGAAGTTATAGTCGATAGACCTCGAAAAATTAGGGTTTTTCGGAAAATCAACATTTTTGGCCACAATTTCCGAAATTCTTGATCAAAAATTCTGAAATTTTTGGAGAACGTAGATAAAGGTACGAGAATTATTATTGCAAAATTTTATCGTTTTTGATAAGCAACTCGCTGTTTTATAGGCTCGCGCCCTAATGGCCCCGCGCCCTAATGGCCCAGTCGCGTACCCAATGGTCCCCCCTACCCGGAGCAGTTCAACTGAGTCCCGGCTCAATTGAGTCCCTGCCCTATAACTCAAGTACGGGTTAATGATTTTTAATGTTTTCGGTACCATTGGATAGGGCATTAAATAGGCTACAATATACCAAAAAATCAGAATTTTTGACCAACTGATAAAAAAGTTATGATCTGAAAACTAACTTTTTCAAAAAATCTGATTTTTCGGCACTTTATCGATCATAACTTTTTTACCAGTCGGCCAGGAATTTTGATTTTTTGGTATTTTATAGCCTATTTAATGCCCTATCCAATGATACCAAGAACATGAAAAAGTGACCATTCCTTGCTAAGTTATAGGGCCGGGACTTAGTTGAACCTGAACTTAGTTGAACTGCTTCGCCCCCTACCCATTAAAATTAAAATTAATTATTTTTCCTTACCCCTCTCTAGATGTATGGTCAATGCAAGACATATAGAAGTTCAATTAATTGGGGACCATTACGGCCAAGTAATTCCAATATTTACCCGTGATTGTTCAATACAGAGGCGTTGTCAAAAAATAATAGAAGAAGCCCCAGCAGGTATTGCCTCCCCAGAAATTCAACGGCAAATGCAAATGGATGCGGTCAATTTGGCTAAAAAAGTTGGTTATGTTAGTGCTGGGACTGTTGAGGTTTTTATTTTTATTAAAAATTTTTTTTGCAGAAATCCGCAAATAATTTTTCACAAAATTCTGTCAGCAAAAATTGTCCGCAAATAAAAAGCTTGAAAAAATTTGCGGACAATTTTTGCGGATTATCTGCAAATATTTTTTCAAAGACCTTTCGGATTCGTAACACTGTGTCACTTTTATTGTGTTATAATATTATACACCAGGAACCAGAATCTAACTGATTTTCCAAAACGTTTGGGAAATCAATTCTTTCAGACATTTAAAATTCGCATTCATAAACTTTTCAAAAATTAATGTCAGTCAGCTCTATTAGAAAAAAAAAAGTCGGCAAAAGATTTTTTTAATTTTTGCGGACTTTTGCGGATTGTCCGCAAAAAAATTTTTTGTCCGCAAAATTTATCCGCAAATTTTTTTTTCAAAATCCGCAAAAATTGTCCGCAAATATTTTTTTGTCCGCAAAAATTGTCCGCAAATATTTTTTTCAAAAAATTTTTTTTCCAACTTTCTTAATTTTCTTTCTTCAATTTCCAGTACATGTATCTACCATCAGAACAAAAATATTATTTTTTGGAATTAAATCCACGTTTACAAGTAGAACATCCATGTACTGAAATGGTTGCAAATATAAACATTCCAGCTATACAACTTCAAATTGCTATGGGTATACCTTTACATAGAATAACTGAAATTCGTCTTTTTTATGGAATGGATAGATATGGGTATATGTTTTATTTTTTATAATTAAGAAAAAATTTTTTGGATTTTTAAATATGGGCTTAGAGTTTGTCGACCTTCGAAAGGGTTTTAAACATTTAAATATTTATTTTCCATCCCGGCTTGGAGATTATTTTGAGGTCATTCTTCGGGTTTAGTCATTATACGTAATTTTGTGGACATCCCCGCTCTTTTAAAAAATGTTCATTGACCGTTGTTAGTTAGGACCCCTAGTTTAAATTTTTGGATTTGGGCATGATAACTTTGGGGTCTTTTTAGTGCTCCACAAGTTAAAGGTTTCATTTTCGAACGCTAGGACAGCCTCTAGTTATGGTAACCACATAAATCTGGATATCAGGGTCAGGTATTCAAGTCCGCAAAAAATTTTTTTGGTTTTGTATATCTTGCTCGACTAAAAATTATAGGATATAGTTTAGTATACCACAGTTTCAGTTTTAATACAAAACCCATACCATTCTGGGTGGCCCTTTTACCCTATTTCTAGAGGATTTTCCCTATTTTTGACACTTTCGCCCTATTTTTTCCCTATTTTCTCGTTTGCCATATTTTTGCCGTATTTTTACCATTTTGTAAAATTTTAAAAATTCTTCGGATTTTGTAAGAAAAATGGTAAAATGAAGGATTTCTGACTTCCTGGCCTTCCAAAATCCTCAAAATTTTGTCTGCGACGCAAAAAATGGAAGAAATCTGACTTCTTAGCGTTCCAAAATTCTCAAAATTTTCGCCTTATTTCAAATTTTAATTATGATTAAGCTTTTAAAGCTATGCCCTAATTTTTGCCCTATTTTTGCCCTATTTTTGAATAGCTGCGCCCTATTTTAGTGTTTTGGAAGGGGCCACCCTGATACCATTCGATTCGTCTCGACGAGCTGAGTCGAGCGGTACCACTTTTTTCTGGAGATGCCTGAGGACCACCGTGTTATAAACCCCAAAGATCGAAAAACTATAGGGGGAGTAAACACAATTTTGGGGTGAAAATTTTATTTTTTGAATGATAGCCCAAACTACAGCCAAACTATTCTAAAAAATCTTTCAAAAATTTAAAAAAAAAATATTTTTTCTTACAGAAATTCCCCTTTTCCCCAAAACCAATGCCGTACAGACACAAACATTCACGTTATTGCTGCACGCATAACAAGTGAAGATCCAGCTGAAGGTTTTCGTCCAGCTAGTGGATCTGTTGAAGTTTTAAATTTTCAATCGAATCAAAATGTTTGGGGCTATTTTTCTGTTTCCAGGTTTTTTTTTTGAAATTTTTTGGAAAATAAAAAAAAATTTTAAAGTACTGGAAAGGTTCACGAATTTGCTGATTCACAATTTGGACATTTGTTTGCTAAAGGAACTACGAGGTTTTTCCCTACCTTGTCTGGGTGAACCTAGTGGGTCCTATGAGGGGCATGGTCCCATTTTCGGAGGGTTTCTTAGACTTTTTCCCTCTCACGGTATTTCCTGTTTCATTTCCTGGTTTTTAGTTGGGTCGGGCCCCTACTTCCTTCTCTCCCGAGTGGGGCCGCCCTCTAAAAAATTCGAATATCCTGCGGAGGACACAAAAAATGGATGAGAGGTCTGGAGTAACCACTCGACACCCCTTCCTGAACCTTCGACTCCTTGTTATGCTCTTGTGAGTGACACAAAAGTAGTGAACCTATTGGGCTCTAGAGGAGTTCGTGGCCCCATTTCGTAGATTTTCCTAGGTCATTTACCTCTCATGGTATGATCCTGTAATGATAAAACGCTGAAATTCCAAAATCTGGTGGTTTTTGGGGGGTCCTCATTAGGGTTTGGGGCCCGGTCCGAAAGATCGAGTCGGGCATCAAATTTTGGCTCGTAAAAGACTCGGTCGGGCCGGCCCGAAAAAAATGACTCGAACGTCGGTCCTCTCGAAAACCCCAAACCATGCCCTGATCCATTTTCTAATTCATAATAAATTTTTTTCAAAAATTTTCTTAAAGATACGAAGCCATTTCCGCTCTATTATGTGCCTTAAAAGAATTAGAATTGCGGGCCACTTTTACTTCCCAAGTAAATTATTTGGTTGGATTATTACACGATAAAGAATTTGAAAATAATGAATTTCATACGGGTTGGTTAGATGCTAGAATTGCTGCTAGGGTACAATCTGCACCTGAATTGCCTGTACATGTTACTGTGGCTATTGGGGCTACTTTAGGTTTTTTCTTTTTTTTTCATTTTTTAAAGAGGGATCAGAAATGGGTCCGAGAGTAGTGCTTCATCGGAACCGCAAATTTAATCGGAACTGAACTTTTGACCGGAACCAGAACTTACAGTAAGCTCTACCTGAGTGGTTAGGGGGATGTATTAGAGAAATCTGTTATAGGTCCAAGAGGTCTGGGAATGGGTCCGAAAGCTTTCCTTCTTCCGTTCAACCAAGGTTGGATCCAAGTTATGGGTTAGTCTCGGGTTTTATAATCCTACTTTCAACTAGGGATGTCACGGGTTGAGAAAAGCGAGATTGGAGGGTTCATAAATTTCGCAACCGGATGTCAGGGGTTTCGTCTAACCCGTGTCATCCCTAGTTGCAACTAGAGACCGGAACGGGAAAACGGGACCCGGTCCCGTTTTTTTGAAGATGCCGGGATGAAATTAGGATCGGGAAATCCCTGTTTTCCCGGTGCCGGTTTCCGACCGGGTTTCTTCTGCTACACTTTCCCGTTTCCGGTTTTTTTTCAAAATTCTGCTCTCTAATTCCAACCACTTTAATGTTAGAATTAATTTTTTCTTATTTTCTTTCCTTTCTCCAGTTGGTTATACCCGTATATCAGAAGTATTTTCAAAATTTCAAAGTGCTTTAGAACGTGGACAAATATTACCCAAATCTGGATTAACAGAAACATGGGAATTAGAATTAGTTCATTCAAACATAAAATACAGCGTTATGGTTAATAAATTTGGGCCAATAAATTATTTGGTTCGTCTAAATGATTCGGTTGTAACTACAATTGTTAGAGAATTGGGGAATGGAACTTTAATTATTATTTATTCACATCAAGCTTATACTTGCCATTTGGAGGAGGAGGTGGGAACATTTTTTATAACGAAACTTTTTTTTCTAAAGCGGGATGTTACGGGTTACCCAAAGAATCGGGCTTATTTTTCGACCCTTACCTCAAGGAAGAGCCATATGGGGGGGGCTTCTGGGGCTAAAGTCCCCCCCCCCTCCCCCCTCTCCCACTTTGAAATGGGGAAAAGGGAAAATTTTAAGGAGGGGATTGAGCTTTGACCGTCTAAATTCAAAAAATTTACGTCCGGAACGCCTAGGTAAACGCCAAAATTTTGGCGAACACCCCATTTTAGCCACCTTGTTATCGACCCCCTAGCTACTCCCTTGCCGTACCCCTATCCAGGAACTTTTTGTAAACCCAATCTGGAATCTTACTTTTTTCTTTATACATTGACATCTCTGGGTGGCATTCCCCAAGCAGGGATGGGTCGGGTCGAATTTCGGATCGGGTTTTAAAAATCCTCTTCAGATCGGGTTTCGGATTGAAAAAAGGCCGGGTTTCGGCTCTCGAGTATTTCGGGTAACCCCCGTCCGATCCATCCCTGGCCCCCCTCCCCCAAGTTGAGGAGAAGACAATAAAGGAGACATTTTGAAGACTCCCTGGGTTTTGGACACCAAAATAATTTTTCTAAATTTTCCCCTTTTTCTTTTCAAGTCTGAACGTTTCAAAGTCGTTATTGGAAGAACATTAACAATATTCGAAAAAGAAAATGATCCATCAATGTTACGTTCAAAAAATGCTGGACGTTTTATGCAATATTTAAAAAGGGAGGGGGATTATGTTTCTGTTGGGGAAGTTTATGCAGAAATGGAATCAATGAAAATGGTTATAAATTTGGAAGTGTCTAAAGCTGGTGGAAGGCTTATACAGGTATAGTTTGTGTGTGTGTGTTTTGGAAAAAAATTTTTTTGGAATTTTTTTGAAACTTATGGTGTTAAACGGGTACACCCCCAACAGGGCTATGCGTCATGGCGTTTAACGTTGGCATCCATTTTTGGCCGAATTTTGGCATTTGGCGTGATTTAAAAATTTGAAAAAATGGCGCACAGCCCTACACCCCAATGTAGCGCAGAGCTATAACTTTGTTAAAAATGGTCGAATCCGGGACGCCCTGGTCAATTGAGTGTCGACTCAACTGAGTCCCGGACCCTATAACTTATCAAGAGGTTGATGATTTTTAATGTTGTTGGTACCATTGGATAGGGCATTAAATAGGCTACAATATACCAAAAAATCAAAATTTCTGACCGACTGGTAAAAAAGTTATGATCGATAAAGTGCCGAAAAATCAGATTTTTTTTTGAAAAAGTTCGTTTTTAGATCATAACTTTTTTTCCAAAAAATCGAAAATTTTGATTTTTTGGTATATTATAGTCCATCTAATGCTCTATCAAATGGTACCAAAACCATTAAAAATTATCAATCCGTACGTGAGTTATGGGGCCGGGACTCAGTTGAACTGCTCCGTTTTTGGATATTAGTGAGGGGGTATTTGACATTTATAGGTTCTCAAGTCTAAAAAAATTTTTTTTGGAAATTTCAGAGGGCCGATAGAGCCAAAAAAATCCTCTTCCTTCTTTTAAGCATTTTTCAAAATTTTGCGGATTAAATTTGCGGACAAAAAAAATTTTTGCGGATTAAGTTTGCGGACAAACTTCAAAAAATCATTCTTTTTTTCCAGGTAGCCCAACCAGGCCATGTACTCTTCCCAGGCACTTTAATTGCTAGACTTGAAGACCAAGATGATGTTTCAACACAAAAACCTAAAAATTTTGTTGGGAGGATGGAGGAATGGGATTCTGCTATAACCAAAGATGTGCTTGATAGAGGGAAGAGTCGATTAGATACTCGATTTGAGGATCTCATTTTGGTAGTTTTTTAATTTTAAGAAAATTTTGTGAGGATAAAAATTAGAGACTAAATTTGCGGATAAATTTGCGGTTAAAATTTTGTCCGCAAAAAACTTGCGGACAATTTTTGCGGATAAAAATTTATAGACTAAATTTCTGGATAAAATTTATGTCCGCAAAAAACTTGCGGACATTAATTTGCTTATAAAAATTTGTTTAAAAAATTTTGTCCGCAAAAAACTTGCGGACAATTTTTGCGGATAAAAAATTTTTTGCGGACTTTAAAAAATTTTTGCGGACGTTAAAAAAAATTTTTTTTAATTTATTTTAAATTTACACACTAATTTTTTATTCAATTTTTTAACACAGACTTGTAAAGACATTTTGTCTGGTTATTGTATGCCAGAGCCTTATTTTCACGAAAAAATTGTTCGTCTAGTAGACGATTTTTACAACGTTTTAAACAATCCACAGCTCCCATATGCTCTATTCAAAGTTTTTTTGTATGCTGTCGAAAGTCGAATTTGTCGAATGTCTTCATACTCAAAAATTAAAAAATTAATTTCTAACGTTAACCACCAAACATTCCCAGCAAATGAATTGGCAGAAGAAATGGAATCTTATTTGTGTACTCTAAATCCTACAGAATTGGGAATTGAAAAACAATATTTTGAATCTCTTATTAAAATTTGTGAAAGGTGAGGGGGGGGGGGGTTTTTTTGGTTGTTTTGGTTTAAAATCAAGTAGCACCCCAAGCCTTTGGGGGCGGGATCTTCGGGGATCGGGGTGATGGGGTAGAGTCTTCGGTGTTTGGGTCAGGGGTTTTGTCTAAAAAGTTTGTCGGGGGACGGGGTTCTACCCTAGTTTAAAAAATCGCTGATACGTGCAAAAAAATTTGCGTTAGGAACGCAAAAAGTTTGCGCACGTTTCTTTATTGGGGGAACGCCAAAGGTTCCCCAGGAACGCCAAAAAATTGCGCACACTCGTTTTGGGAAAGCCGAACGTTTGGCGGCACACCCCATAATCATCTGGTCACGGCCTGGCACGCGGACATATTTAGACGGACATATCGGGATATTTCAATGTACGAACAGTTACCCTACTCTAGTATATTGACTTTATTAATCCCACAAAAATTAATTTTAATAAATAAAATAAAATTTTCCCACACAGATTTGGAGATGGTCTACTTGGACATTTACAAATTGTAATTTCTGAATTTCTAGAAAACTTTATCGATATTGAACATCATTTTCAAGACGTTTCTTATGATAAAGGTGTTTCTTCAATAAAATCAATCATTTCTGACCCTTCAAGGTGGGGTTTTTTATATTTTTTTGATAACGCGCGCTCAAAGATGCAGGCGCCCAAACGACCCTATCCAATAAATTATGTTTTCAGGAAAATAAAAAAATATAAAATCAATTCGGAAAAAATACATTGGTAATTTAATTTTCCGGAAAATATTAATTTTAAACAATTTCCGGAAAAGAATAATATTAAAAAGCTTTTAGAAGGTTTTCCGGAATTGTTACAATTGTATTTTCCGGAAAACATTAGAATCTGGTAGAAATTAATTGTAAAAACATTTACAATTGTTTTTTTCCGGAAGAGATTTATTTTAGAAACATGAACTACATTTCCGGAAAAACATTTACAATTGCATTTTCCGGAAAATATTAATTCTAAACATTTTCCAAAGGGATAATATTTTGAACATAAATTACAATCCGGAAAAGATTAATTGTAAAAACATTTACAATTGTATTTTTCCGGAAAACATTTTTATAAACATCGTAATTCCGGAAAACATTTGTCAAAACAGCTTTTTCTGGAAAACATGTTTAAAAACATAAAAAACATCCTTTAGAAACATCTCTGGAAATTGCAAATGTTTTTAGAGAAAATGTTTCCCGGAAATTTAATAAATGTTTACATTTTTTATAATTTCCGGAAGTTGTTTTAGTAATGTTTTCCGGATTTAGAACATAAATTACAATCCGAAAAAGGATAATTGTAAAAACATTTACAATTGTATTTTTCCGGAAAAATCATTATAAACATTTATTTTAATTTTGGAAAACATTAATTGTCAAAACATTTTTTCCGGAAAACATTTCTAAAAACATACAAAACTTTTTCTTGGAAACATCTCCGGAAATCACAAATGTTTTTACAGATAAAAATGTTTTCCGGAATTTTTATTAGAAGAGATGTTTTTACATTATATCCGGAAATTTTAAAAATAGTAATGTTTTCCGGAAATTGTAATATTACATTGTCTACAGGGTGACCCAAAAAGTTTAGGACAAACCTTTTATGCCATAACTTTATTCAATCTAAAGATAATAAGATCGAATAATGATGAAATTATAGAAAACTAAATGGAGAATAAAATAAAAAAAAATCTTTTAGAATTTTCCCTATTCTACTTTGCGATAAGATTAAAGAAAAGTGCGAAAAATTATTGCTCCAGGTCGCACCCTTTTTTGAGGCATTTTGCCTATAACATTAGAACAGATTGCAGGAATTACAAAAAAATTTTTCGGCATCTAGAGCAATCCTTTATCTATAGAAATCATAAAGCAAAAAAATTTTTCAGATTAACGCCTAAAGAGATATTCGATTGCGCGTAACACTCCCAAAATGGGAAAATCGCATTCCTCCCAAAACTGATTTACATCTACTCAGAGCCATCCATGTAGGAGTTGGAGTTTTTATCTTTCAGATTTGTCCGGTTCGCTAATGATCTTAATTAAATTCTGTTGAGATCATCCCGTTTGGACTTCTCCTTTCTGAGATACAGAAAATAAAATTTTGGGGGGAAAATTTTGATATGGTGTACCTAAAATTACATAACTTTCTTAATCATGAATCAAATAATTTTTAATTTTACTATATGATAGAGAATTAATTGAGCTACAAAATAAACGAAAAAATATGAAAAAATATTTACGAGAAAAAAAGTTATGGCAAAATTACTTTTGTCCTAAACTTTTTGGGTCACCTTGTACAATTTCCGGAAATTGTTTTAATAATGTTTTCCATAAAGTTTAGTGTAGTTTCTAAAAGGTTTTCCGGAATTGTGATGAATTTTTTTGTCTCGGGAAATTGTAAAAATGATGTTTTCCGGAACTTTTATCAGAGGACATGTTTTTACATTTTTTTAGCAAATTGTAATAAATTTTTCCTCTAAAAATCATTATTATTTTTAATTTTTAAAGAGTTGTTCGGATGGTTTATTCACACACAAAAGTTTTGGACAAAAATGTTTTTTTAAAAGAATTATTGTCAAGATTAGATGACCAGTCAATTATTAAATTACAAATGCCTTTAAAACGAATAGCTAATATGTTTAATCAAGAAATTGAACCTATTGCTATTTATATTAGAAGAATACTCAACAAAATGCATCAACTTTCTTATTCAAATTTGTGTTCAAATGTATGTTTGGTGTTTTTATATTATATTTAAATAATGTTTTTCGGAAATTGTGTTTCCCGAAAAATGCGCTTTCCGGATTGTTGTTTTATGTTTTTAAAACTAATGTTTATAGTCTTCCGGAAAACTTAAAAAATGTTTTTACAATGTTTTCCGGAAATTTTAAAATTGTTTTTGTTTGTTGTTGTCCGGAAAATTTGTTGTTAAATGTTTTTATAATGTTTTGTTGATTGTTTTTAAGAATAATATGTTTTCCGGAATTATTATTTTGTAATGTTTTTGCAATGTTTCCGGAATTGTAAAAATTTTTTTAATAATGTTTTCAGGAAAATGTAATAATTTTTTTCATTGTTTTCGGAAATATTTGTAAAAACATTTAGTATAATTTCCGGAAACTTTAAATTGTTTTTACAATTTCCGGAAAAACATTTTATTTTATTAAATGTTTTTACAATGTTTTTCTGAACTTGTCCTAATGTTGTGTTGAATGTTTTGTTGAATGTTTTCCTAATGATTTGTCGAATGTTTTGTTGAATGTTTTCCTAATGTTTTGTCGAATGTTTTGTTGAATGTTTTGTTTGTTTT